ATTTTGGGTTGAGTAACCATTACTGGTGCCATCTTACAGCAGATGGAAACAGAATAAAATCTGACCTGTCAAGCATACATTACATGTACTATTAGTAAAGAACTACACGATTTTAAGCAATACAAGAAATATCTGTAGTCCTGATGTAGGATGAAAGGATTATAGTAATGTTGTAAACACACAAAAAAACCAAACAAAAACAAACTGTAATCCGTAAGCTTATTGAAGAAAAAAAAACAATTAGAGATTCCTTATGTAACATTTTGAACAAGGAATAATTTGAAAATTTCAGTAAAATTACTGCATTCTTATTCTTTAAGACGTTATAAATGTTTGAAGAATAGTGTAGTCTCTATTTTCATTGCTACTGTTTGTTACGATAAACACAAAGTCTTGTACATCCATTTTTAAATTAGATTATTAAATGGCAATTCCGTTTCAATCTGTTCATAATCACAAGGTTGATTATGGGCTTTATTAGGACGTGGTTTCATCTTGTCAGTGGTGCAGGACGGAGGGGGAGGCCTGACAAGGACAGCTGTCTAGTCATTCGGATGATACGAAAAACCGGGGTCCCGTGTATACATTGGCCTGCACGTAAAAGATCCCTTGGCAGTTGGAATTGGATATAAGAGTAGGTCATAATGCCGCTGCCCGTGCAAAATTTCTTGATTATGGGCTTGTTAATAATTCATATAATTCATAGTCCAACAGCAAGATCTGCAATAGATAAATTTTGCTCTTACATAATTCATTTTTAAAAGAAACCATATTTCTCCACCAGCAAGTTATCACAATGTTGGCACAAAACATCTTCGCCGACTCTACTTTATAATGAAGCTTTTAAATGTTGCATTGAAAATGTCCATTATTACCTGTAGAATGTATATATTTATGTCATTGTTAAAATATTTTTTTTGAGTTTTATAAATTAAAAGAAGCAAAGATAGGTTGTCAGGCTTGCCGGGCAACGAAACATATACCCACAGCAGCTAAGTCACCCGAGCAGTCAACAAGGGTTGTCACATATTTTTTTCTTTTGTCAGTACTGAAAACATTTACGTAATACAACACACTAAAAAATGATTACGAGTAAACCCATCTGGCTTCTAGGTTTGCTCTATGCTAACATTTAGTACCGTATACAAAACATATAATATCAAGGGCTATAACTCTGGCAGTAATTATTGAAAAAAAACTGAATATCAAGAGGCTTCCTCGTCTCATGGTTTTAAACACTTGTGTATAAATTTAAAGTCCACAAGATTTTTCAATGTGATCAAGGACCATAACTCTGGCAGTAATTATCGGAAATTGTTGAAAATTAAGACTTCTTCGTCTTATGACCTGCAATGAAATGAAATGGGGTTTAAAGTCCTCTATCATGTCTCATGACCTTAAACACTATACATTTAATGTAAATACGATAATAAGGACCATAACTTGGCAGTAATTATTGGAAGTCGCTGAAAATTTATAGGCTTCGTTGTCTCATGACCTTAAAAACTGTGTATCAATCGGATATTAACTTTAATAGACTTGTGGATGTACAGACGGCCGGACAATAATATGCCCACATTTCAGTTTTGGCGTATAATAAGTAGTCTATCTATCCATTCATGAATCCTGATACACCATCCACTGGCATTGGTTTATTTACATCATATTGGGGAGGTCAGGGATACAGTACAATGTTCAATAGCTACAATAGGCATAACCATTTGGATTGATATACTCATTTATCAGTTATTGTTGAGAGAAAGTGTGATCTATTCTGACCTACATCCTCTGTAAAATGAAATGAAATGATAATGTTTCTTGACACCTGAAGCAAGCAAAAAACTGTTTAAGTATCGACTGAAACTTTATTATGAGTACACTTTTAATTCTATAGGTCGATTCAGATTATTCTTTGACAATACAAAAGACTCTAATTTCAAATCAGTTATCTCCAGCGAAATATGGCAGGAGTCTCAACCGAATCGCTATTTCTAGTGTCTGGTTATTCCAGTCTATTGCGCATGCTCTCATGGCGTCACCATTTGACATGAGTATTGAGTTGTGGAATATGTCTAGCCTCGTTCTTTCTGGTCACTTGTTACAAATGACACTGAAACGCACTATGACATCAGAAGTCTACTTTTTCCCTGTAAGATCACAACATCAATTTTGATTTGAATTGACAAATAATTCGTGTTTTCAACGTGTAAGACTTTATGATATTGAGTTAGAGACTTAGCTACTTTAATCCCCATCTCTCACTCCGAGTCTCTCTCTCTTGTCCAAAAGAGCACAGGAAAGTAGTTCGAGGGATAGCGTAACCCTAGTAACTCACAATGTGATTCTTGAAGACGATTCCCGTTCATGAAATGAAATGAAATGATTGGGGTTTAATGTCCTACTTTTCGGCTCCGACTGGGCTAATGAAGACGGGCATACGCCATACAGTGTGCTATGAAGGAAAATATTGCCCAGGCAGTGGCAATATGGCCTAGGCCTACTCTTATATCGAATTCCAACTGTCAAGGGATCTTTAACGTGCACGTCAATGTATACACGGGCGCTCCTCTTTTCGTAGCATCCGAACGACTAGACAGCTGTCCTTGTCAGGCCTTCCGTCTTGCGCCACTGACAAGGGGAAACCATGTCGGAAAAGTCCGATGAACTTTCTTGGCCAATGCAGGGATCGAAGATTCCCGTTCATGGAGAAATGAAATAGGATTTAACAATAACATCATACAGACCCTATGCAGCATGCTGTATGCTATTGGGTCGAGGGGTCCCGGTCTTCGGCGTACTCTTATTTCGATTCAAAACTGTGAAGGATTCCTCTACGTGCACGCTAGTCCAGCTCTGATTTGGCGAAAAAGTTTGGCTTCTCAGTCAATTTTACTGGGCAACTTTTTAATGCGATACGGTCGCGTGTCAGTCCCTGTGAACGCCTGAACAATATAAATGAAAATCTTAGTGAGAAATTAAGACCTTGCTTACCTCGCTAGAGTCAGTATGAGCGACACAACACGCTGTTAAAAAATACGTCTCCGTCTTCTTACCGACTTGGCGGACATCATTGAAAGGGTAACGCACAAATTTAAGAACTCGGCCATATAAGATGAAACGAAATTTAGGTAAGCCTGGTGCGAAAAAATTGGGATTTTTGAAAGAATTTGATTGTAAATTATTGTAATATAGCTAGGCAAAGCAATAAATCATTGAAGATTCTCAACTTTTCAAAGATTTCATTTGTAAACGGGATTTTTTGTACAATAATCCAGAAAGTTATGGTCTGAAATGCGCAAATACCAAAAGGGACTGAGATCTTTGGGATATAAAGATATGTTTTACACAATTTGCGTACAAAGAGCGGGCAGTTTCATTTCGATAACCCACGAGGTTGGACCGAAATTCTAATTCAACCTTCATTATGGTGGAATGGTGAAATATTTAAACGATTTTTAAAATCGGAAAAAAAATTGTGACCTCTAGAGAATCCGCAAGCTAAAAATGCCATTTTTCGAACAATCAGGGGCCATAATCCAGGAAGTTAAGTTCGGGTATCCGCGATTATCAAAATGATCCCAGATCTTAGTGTGTAATGGTGATATATTATTCAGTATTCACACATTTTCTTTTAAATCAGATAAAAATTGTGACCTCTACAGGGACCACAAGCTAAAATCGCGATTTTTCGTACAACCAGGGGCCATAATTCAGGAAATTACGGTCCGATATGCGCGAATATTGAAATGAACCGAGTTCTTTGGGTTATAAACTTACATTTCAAGTTTCATCAAAATAGGATTAAAATTGTGACCTCTATAGGGTCCACAAGCTAAAAGCATGATTTTTCGTACAATCAGGGGCCATAATACATGAAGTTTCGATCCGATACATGAGATAAACCTATATTTCAAGTTTCGTCAAAATCGGATAAGAATTGTGACCTGTAGAGTGTCCACAAACAAATTGTGGACGGACTGACGTCCGGACGGACAGGGGCGACGACAATATACGTCCACATGAAAATGTGGGCGTATAATGAAAAATTATAACAGTAGACCCCTGTCATACAACTTTATTAAACAAAATACTATTTTGGCGATAACAAGATCATAATTTGTTTAATTTAACATCAGATATTTTGATTACAATAACAAAAACTTTCAATGGGAAATAAGAATATAAATCAAAATCTCTTATTTTCTAAATTTATATAATTGATTAAGAAATAATATAATCTATTTCAACTGATGAACTATCAGTTGACCCATATTCATCAATATTTTAAAATATATAAATATATGGGTATACAGATAAAAAAATTTTTTTTAATGTGGTTGAGTTCATTGGTTAATCATTAATTAAGAATTAATTTAAGATTGTACTTCCACTTTTTAAATCTAACGATGAAAAATATTTTGATCCATTTAAAGAATCTAAAAAGTTTCGTCAATACGAGGAAGAGCATAAGAATCGCGAACGGTTTCGAATTAAGTTTTCTATAATCTACCCAGAATCGTGGTGTCAAAATTATTTTGAAATTTCCGACATACCAATCAGGTCCGTAGCTAGCCCAAAAATGTTGGGAGTGCAAGAGATTCTGCGGGCGCCAATGGGGCTTGTGGGGGCGTCGATGTGTAACTACACTTGACGGTCCATGGTTAACGGCACCGTGGATGCACCGCCCTTCGGAGAAAATGTTGGAAAATAGACTTTGCACCCGAGGTAAGGAACTATGAAAAATACGGAAAATCTCAAGTCATAAGAGCAGATATAAGAGTGTCGCTTAAAGAATTATGTAAAACTATATTTGACGTATCAAAATTACAATTCGGACGTTTAAAGTTCAATCTGCACCTGATTTTGCCTATTTTGAAAACAGATAAAAAAATGTGTATTATCAATATTATTGTTTGATATGATATCAAGTAAGCAAACGTCCTATATCACGTGCTTTATCATACTTATATCACGGGGTAAATTAACCTGTATAAATACACTTAATCTTTACTACCCTAGACACTTTTAGATACAGTCACCATACAAGGTAAGTTCTCCTTTAAACTATATTCTATGAATTGTTTAGTTCTTACTTTCTAGAATGAAATTTCCCTTTTCTATTATATGTTGAAGGTTTACATAAAGCCGTGGTTCTAATTTTATGCAGCGAATATCAAAATACTCTTAATTCAGTTAACATAAACATGCCGGGATGGAGAAATATTCTCAAGGCATATACTAATGATAGTCAAAACAGTGAGAATAAATCAGTAACTCTATGAAACAGATAGGTTTTATTGACCATTGCTATTTAAAACGAATGGTGGCTATAATTATTATTGTTATAAATTAAAAAGTATGAGATAAAATAGTTTGAAATAATTTTCTTATTATATTTTAGATGCTGAGATTTGTATTATTAGCTGTATTGTGTTCAGCCTGTTTGGCTATTAACAGTGAATTAGATGGAGATTGGGTAGCATATAAAAAACAATACAGTAAAATCTATAATCCTCTCTCAGACAATCTCAGGTAAATGATTTAATGTCATACCAAAAAATAGACGAATTCATTTCTGAGAGCTCTGGATGCTTACAAATCATAGATTGGCACGCACTAGAATTAAAAAACTACCACACGCCGTATCTTTAACAGCTATATCAAGACGAAAACAAAACCAGAATCTCGTAATATAGTCCAAATGGTCTGACCGTTCCATGACCGCTAATGGCAATTTTCAAGAGTTGTTACATGTTAAATCACAAAAATAAGATCTCATATCTGGGAGATATAAAGATCCTGATAAAATTTGAATAGTATTAACATTCTATGTAATTTTTAAAAGGGTACAACTGGTTGACTTTAATCGATAAATTTGATGCATGATGCAGCGCAATTTAATCGATTGAAGTCAACCAGTTGTACCCTTTTAAAAATTACATAGAATGTTAATACTATTCAAATTTTATCAGGATCTTTATATCTCCCAGATATGAGATCTTATTTTTGTGATTTAACATGTAACAACTCTTGAAAATTGCCATTAGCGGTCATGGAACGGTCAGACCATTTGGACTATATTACGAGATTCTGATAAAATTTGAATAGTATTAACATTCTATGTAATTTTTAAAAGGGTACAACTGGTTGACTTCAATCGATTAAATTGCGCTGCATCATGCATCAAATTTATCGATTAATTTACATAGAATGTAAACAGATTATTATCAGCTTAAAACTTTTCTCTTTTTATCTATATTCAGGTGATAGATAGTATATACCCAACTATCAGTAATAGAATAATAATAATATTCTTATAATAGTTTCCATTAATAGTGTCATATTTTATGATAACCTGATTAACTTGAAAATTTTAATTTATGCAATACTAATGACCGATTTTAAAAGTTATCTTCTGATAACCTGATTATTTTAATAAGTGTGACGTATTATAACTTACATGTCTATTTATAATTCACCTTTATTTCATTTTGACGTCATCATCGGAGACGCTATATTAGATATTATAATATAATTATGTTTATATGGTCGATTTTTTAAAATCAAAATTCTAATCTTGCTTGCTATATTAGTTATGTCACAAGAATGGGGTAGATTTAATATTTACTCCTCGAATACAGCCATATTTAAGATACACGTATTTCATATTTCACCAATGCGCTTTTTTTGATATGATATTTCAGGAGAATAGTATGGGAATCCAATCTAGAAATTATTGAACGTCACAACAAAGAAGCTGATAATGGATTAAAATCTTACCGTCTTGGTATGAACCAATATGGTGACATGGTAAGCACCCAGTTTCATATTTAGTTTGAAAAAACTAATTCGATAACAAACTAATGGACAATTATTGCTACTCACTGCGTGATATTTTGCAAATTACTAAGTTACTTTTAAAGACAGTCAACAATTCTTATAAATATACACCCATCTATTTTCTCCATGTAATAGGAAATTACCCCTAATATATCATAAATGTTTCTTTTGTAATGCTCAATTCACTATATTGGTTTTTTTTACATTCCACCTCAGTGATAATTAACTATTCCGTTTTTATTTCAGACTAACGCTGAGTTCGTTGCGATCATGAACGGTTATCGATCTAGCGAACACAAACCATCAGGACTGACCTTTGTCAGTGAAACCCCAGTAAATGAACTGCCAAAAGAAGTCGACTGGAGAAAGAAGGGTTACGTCACTGAAATCAAAAATCAGGTATTGAATAATGATTTTATAAAATAATTATGTGATTGAATTTAACCAAAGTTTAATTCAAGGACCAAACCTGGATGACAATATTTCAGTAGGCTTCTTAATATTTATTAAGTGGTATAGGTATATTAATCAACATACCATCTGATGCTGCGTTCGGGTATTTACGGTAATTAGGTGTTCTGGGCTTGAAAGTATTGCTCAAATCACATTACAGGTCATATAAAACTCTGAGTGTTGAAGAACATTTTGGCAAGTAGAAGAAATTCAATCAAAATCCTTCCTATTGTGTTTTTACGTAGCTAACCATCTTTTTTACAGGGTCAATGTGGTTCATGCTGGTCTTTCTCTGCCACTGGTTCTCTAGAGGGACAACACTTCAAGAAAACTGGAAAACTTGTATCTTTATCAGAACAAAATATTATGGATTGCTCAAGAAGAGAGGGTAAAAAGCTTCTATTACTATTTGAAAAGTGACCCCACGCTACAACAAGACCACACACTACAACACGAACTCGCAGGAAACAAAATTCAAAAGCTCAATATAATCTAACTTTTAAAAGACAATCGTCCAGGCAATACTGTTCCAAATAGAGAAGAGATTGGGGCCCTATGTAGAATTATATTTCTGTCATTACATAATATTCTAAGTGAAAAACTAATATACTGAATAGATTCTATAATTTCGATCAATGATAATATAGTTCTAAGTTCAGTTAAAGTTTTAAATCACTGTACAGTAATAATTTGTTTGTATAGTTCAGATCATAATATAGGCATGTGTTCAATTATAAATTCTAATCTTAGAGTAACAATTCTTTTCTCCAGAATGAATCATAAAATTAGTACAGTTTACCAATGCTGTCACACTATATTTTACCTGTCAGCATCTTACCATGCTATCAAATGTCTATATACATCGATCCCATGTTCAGTCGAAAAATATATTGGATGTTTGTTATAAACCATTCAAATTTGAATCTGACTATAACCGGCCTTGGGCCATTTTTTTTAAAAATCAGATGAAGCTTCTTTACCTTTTCATTGTTTTATTGTTTGCTTACATGCCCCCTCCGTCATCTTTAAATTTTTAGGGTTGAAATTTGTTAATGCCGTACCGGTACTATTTCTTATCGTATTTTGGAGTTTAATCCTTGATAAGACCAATTGTAGTACAGTTACCTTTAAATCCTATAATGTTCTCTGAGTTCAGGTAACATGGGATGTGAGGGAGGTTTGATGGATCAAGCTTTCAAATATATCAAGAAGAACCATGGTGTTGATACAGAAGCATCTTACCCATACAGAGCTAGAGTAAGTTTAATGAATTAATACAGGGCTATGTAGGAACTACTGCTTTGCCACGAACGGGTCAGTTACAAAGGCGTGTGCTGCTGGCTAAGCCCACGCAGTGCTATTTTGTCTTTTTTTGTGTATTTACGGATAGTACTTAAGAGTTGTAGATTATTGAATGGAAAAGGATATTATGTGTTTTGCCATAAACTTATATACCTCCCTCCCCCCACAAGAAATTATATACTAACGTAGCAATCCAAATTAGTTTCAAACATTAATACAAACTATGGTACAAAGTATGATATAAAGTTTTTATCATTTTCTTTGTTTATAGGACGAGAAATGTCATTTCAAACGCGCTGATGTTGGTGCTAACCTGACATCCCATGTTGATGTTAAAAAGGATAATGAAGATGATCTCCAGAAAGCTGTAGCAGAAGCTGGTCCCGTTTCGGTTGCTATTGATGCTAGTCACAACTCTTTCCAACTCTACAAATCTGGTGTGTATGATGAGAAACAGTGCAGTTCTGTCAATTTAGATCATGGTGTTTTGGCTGTAGGATATGGTGCCCGGGAAGGCAAAGATTACTGGCTTGTCAAAAACAGGTATAAACACATTAAATACTGACCACCTGACTTTCAATCCAAGATATATTAAGCGAACCTTGCCAAGAGTAGGCTTACAATTATTTTGGACGAACATGAATGTTTGGTTGAACACAGAAACAGAATGACAGAGGAGTTGACCACTGACACAGGATAACAGTGGAGTTGAAAACATGTGTTTTAATTGTAACTTCAGATCAAAAATAAACAAAGCACTCCCGTTAGCGAAATATGTCGTGAAGCAACATGGGAGATCGATTCTCGGGTGTCATAAAATAGATTTCATATGAAAACACCCAACCATGCACAATTCGCTTAAACATACATTATGCAAGAGCTAAATCTGCCTATTGCAAGTCTTTATTTAGGCTTCAGGTGTTATAGAAATTATTAGTTAGACCTTTATTTCCACGACAAGCTTAAAATCAACTCTGTATAGACCCACGGATGGCTTGGATACGGTTTGGATTTAAACAGCCTCGTCCATTTAAAATTAAATCAATAAATGGCGGACCAAGCTAACGTTTACCGTTACTCGCTGATGTCACAACCGGAAACTGGTGATGAAAAGCCTGTCAAGCGAGGCTACCATAGCTATTGAGCATGTTACTTGATAATCAGGAATATGTGGGTGGAGTTATCGTTTGTCAATCAAACGATCGCCAATTCTCATAGACGGTGAAGACAGAATTGATGCCTATTTCTAGTCCAAACTTCTAACAGTGATAATTCCGTTCAGAACAAAGTAATTTGACTGAAATTTTCAACATTTTCGTTTTTTATCATCTGTTTTTGAATTATTATAGCAAGAATGGCCAACTATTTATAAAACTCTTAACTAATGTATCTTTAACTATATGTAAATTAATCTCATTTATTACAGTTGGGGTGAAAGTTGGGGTATGTCAGGTTACATCATGATGTCAAGGAACAAGAAGAACCAATGTGGTATCGCCACCAGTGCTAGCTACCCACTTGTTTAGATATCAGACCTGGAAGAAAATATGTAAAATATTAGAAATAAATTATTTTTTTTTAATCGTCGATTTTTCTGTTGTAAAGCATTTATTTTCAATCCACTGACATGCCCTAATTGTGAATCAAACTGAAATGAAATGAACTGGGGTTTAACGTCCCACTGTTCTGCTGCTATACTGGGCTAATGAAGACGGGCATACGCCATACAGTGTGCTATAAGGGAAATTTTGCCCGGGCAGCTGCACTATCGCCTACTCTTTTATCGAATTACCTTCCCCAATCTCATGGATCAAAATGGCATGATACAGAGGTTTGGCTCCAGTGTTAAAACCATGATATACTGAAACTGAAATGGGGTTTAACGTCGTACTTGTTTATACCGAACAGGTTTATGAAAATGGATTTCTGGTATAAAACGACTGGAAAATTGGTCTGTTAGGCACATGCATTTAAATAGAACCGATCAATAGTAATTGCACATTTTTGACTTTTCACCAATGACTAAAATATATCCAGGACTGAATTCCTTGTGTGGGCCGAGGAAAAAATCTAAGCCCGTTTCCGCCCTATTAAATGGTAACGTGTGGGGGGCTGATAAGGAACAGTTGTGTAGTCCCGCGTAGGAATTAATAGTAGACGCGATGTTGGTGGAAAAATTCGCGAAAAAGATTCCCCCTCAAACTTCATTATTACCACAGATAGATAATAAGTCCATAGTAAAATGACGCTAAACCCGATTCTTTTCTACTTGTTTCGGGGTACAGCACTAAGAGATTTTACTTCATTATTTTTCAACCAATTTCAATGCGGTTTGTACCAGTTTGGTAGTAGTTCTTAATTCAAAATATGGTATCTACGACGCATGCGTATAACCTCCTTTAAAATTGAAAACAGTGAAAACATTTGAAGATAACTTTTTTATTTTTCAAGATATCGACTTGACACTTTCAAAATCCGTTACAATTGGGTAAACGTAACTAATAATAACAACAAAAGATGGCTGATTATCTTCCTTTTAAAAGATATTCAATTTCATTAATTTTATATTACATGTATTTAACACAATTTCGTTCCTGGAGTTTTACGTCCACTTCCACCAAGGGTGATATCGTAGACAATAACTCAATTTGTTGTTGTTGTTTATTACAGATTTAACGTCCAATACAATAAATATTATGATATAATGGACAGGTTGATTTAATTAGATTTACACTTAAAGGGTCGAAAATCGGTAAATTAAACGCAAAATTAAAAAAAAAGTCCTTGTAAATCAAAAAGTCACCTTAAAACAAACTTATAAAATCGTTGTCGTGAGAGAGAGGGCGGGTCACCATTGTCATAACAATCTGATTAAAATACAGATCTATACTTAGTTAGTTGTATTTTACGTCCGCTTCCACCGAGGTGATATCGCAGACAAGATAGATCTATATTTCGTTTCCCTTTTTTATACTTTCGATGGCCTACACTACAGGAAGATCTGACCAGTTGTACTGGGAGGTCGCGTCAGGGGTCGTACGAGCGGCGTTTGACCATATGACGTCAGACATTGATCAATCAATCAGCGTTGACGTTTCTAGTGGTTTACCCATAGTTTCGTGCATTGAAGGCCAAGATGTCGCCGTAACAGATGGTTTCATTGGCTAATCCCACACGCCATCCAGAACGCATGTTATATAACAACTTTTCCAGATCCTAGTGTAGTGTAGTATAGAAATTTTGAACTATAAAAAAACGAAACGAAATAGGATCTGTGTTTTAATCAGATTGTTTGTCATAACAAAATCAAGTTAAAACGGGAGATCAAGCTGACTGATGTTTGGCGTCATCAGTGTGGATAGAAAAAAACCCGTGGGGAAAAAGAATCCGTTTGCTTTATGTGGAAAAGCGAAATGCTGGCAGTAAAAACCTTATAGCTGGATTATTTACATTACATAAAAACTGTTCGTCCAAAAAGTTCCACATAGTTAAAAGTTCTTTAATGCGGTTCACAAATTCAGCGTTTAAGAGTTATAGACATTCCATTCGTTTTTTTTTTGTGCGTATGACTCTCCCCAGATAAGAAAAGAAAAAGAAGAAACATCAGCAACACAGAACACAACACTTAAAACAATTTGTCTTTGGTAATTTTTTATAGTAATCTTATAGTCGCTATCATCCAGACAAATATTCTATGAGAATAACAGGGGTTAGTGCTAAATGATAAGACCAGCTCAATTTTTCGTCAAAAGCTCCTTTCACCCGAAATATACGTTCTCTGGCATCATAAAATCTCAGATTCTCCGTTTCCATAGGATATGTACTAGGGTGTTTCATATTTGAACTTTTTTTTCGCGATTGAACTCTACCATGTGCCATGCGTTTCCAATTGGGTCCAAACTCATCACCAGCGAATATTATAATTTTCCTACCAAAAATGGCGGGCCGCCGCCATTTTGAATTTTTCACCAAAAATGACTCGATGTGAAGTTTTTGAAAAAGTCGGAAAAAATACTTCCCGTTACAGTAGAAAGATAAAACGTGGCACAATGCATCGAAAAGGCACAGAGATGTTCTGCGATTTATTTCAGAATTTAAGCATCAAAATTCAGGAGTTTTGCATTTTGGCATTTTTTAGAAAAAAAATCTTTTTCTGTAGAATTTGTTAAGACAATGATGATTAAACTCCACCAAAGTGTCATAAACAAACATATCTACACAAGTGGAGATTAATAAAGAACTAAATTAGTTATACGGGTTGTCCTCGATGAATATTTGATCATACAAGAGAGACAGAAACCATTCAAAAAGTCACAAAAGTCATTTAATAATCCAGACGAGCCAAAGTGTGTTTCATATAGTCAGGAAATTTGGTGTGATGCATTTCGACTGGCTGTAGTAAGGCCTGTAACTGTTCTTCATCGCCAGTCTTGTCAATGAAGTCTTGAATCGTCTTGATTCCCCGTTCTGGATCATTTTTCACAGGAGTGTTTTCCACAAAGCTTAGAAATTTTCTAAATTCAAAAAATTTTCCTATTCGCTACATGGTACCTGCATCTATTCCTGTGATTCGGTGAGGCCAAGAGGATTAAAGACAAGCCATGAGTCGTTAGATATAAGCTCAGTACAATCTGTTTATTGTCTATTTCTTGAATTTTGGCTCTTCCTGGTTTGAGCTGAGGTCTAGGTGTTAAAAACAGTTTTATAGCCATGGGTTCGCAGACTTTACCAGACAGTCCTTTGTCACATAAGCAAAAAACTACAAGTTTTCAACACCTAGGCCTCAGCTCAATCCAGGATAACCCAAAATTCAAGAAATAGACAATGAAACAGATTTTTCTGAGCTTATATCTAACGTCTCATGACTTGTTTTAATCCTCTTTAATTCTGTCTCTCTTGTATGATCAAATATTCATCGAGGACAACCCGTATAACTAATTTAGTTCCTTTTTTATCTCCATTTGTGTAGATAAATTAGTTTATGACGTTTTGGTGGAGTTTAATCACCGTGGTCTTAACAAATTCTACAGAAAAAGACTTTTTTCTAAAAAAATGCCAAATGGCAACTCTCCTAAATTTTTATGCTAAAATTCTGAAATATATTGCAGATCATCTTTGTGCCTTTTCGATGCATTGTGCCAAGTTTTATCTTTCTACCGTAACGGGAAGTATTTTTCTGACTTTTTCAAAAATTTCATATTTGTCGAAAAATTCAAAATGGCGGCTGCCCGCCATTTTTGGTGGGAAAATTATGATATTCTCTGGTGATGAGTTTGGACCCAATTGGAAACGTATGGTAGAGTTCAATCGCGAAAAAAAGTTCAAATATGAAACACCCTATTGTTCGTCTACCGACATGTCAGTTTTAATTACATTTACTTTTATCTTTTTATCTGATTTTCCTCAAATATTACAAAATGTGTACATTAAAGGCAGTCACTAGTTAGGATCCCTTACTACGTGCAGTAACTGGCCTGTCAGTACTGTACGACGATATACGTATATTTATGTTCCGGTATATTTAAGAATTGAAGAATCATTCGAAGTCTGTTATATCCGAAGAGAGAATTTACACCTCTAAAGTTGGCGGAGAAGTTTTGTGTGGCAATACCCCGACCTCTCTACAAGTCATAGCGAGTATACCACGCCAGCCCAAAACGACAACTTCACAATGGAACAGGTTTTAATCCCTGAAAAATTGGCTGAGATTTTTAAAATCATGGACATTGAAACAGTGGCCAACCAATGGAGAATAGAAAGCAGAGGAAATAATTTTAGCGTTGTGCTAACATGGAGTGGTTTCTATTCTTCGGTGCCACAAAAGAGGAAATCAGCCAGTAAACTCAAGCGAGATTGGTACAGAAGTCAGAGTTACAAAGAAAAACAGCAGACTCAACTACCAAACGTAAGTACTATTACACATAAAGAGGAAAAACTGCCCGGAGAGCACCCTCTTCCTGATATCCCCACAAAGAAATCGAAGTCGAGGTTATGCCACACAAAAGCAGTGCGTGTTTTTAACAAGACCACCCAAACAGTAGCTGTTACCAAAGACCCGATTTCTCAAACAGAATCTTCGATGAACGATGGCATGGACGGCGAAGATATCGACATTTTAGGGTTGCCACTTCTGAAACGCGACGACACCTTCGTGGCGCTGATGGGGGAGCACAAGAGTATTATGCCAAACCTTAAAGTTCCAGTGGAACCTACACCCTTTGCTCGGATTGAAAACATTCTACGACAGCGATATTTGGGCAATTCGGATGACCATGAATACCCAATACAAACCGAACGAGGGACATACTGGGAATGTGCAAGTGCAAAAACTGTAAGACAACAATGTGGAGATTTTAATCTAAGAGCCGTGCCCGTGGAAAGCTATAATAGTTATGAATGGGAATCTAACTGGAAATGGAGATCTAAATTTCCTGGCTGTAGACAGTACTATTAGTGTTTGCTTCTTGAATTATACTACTGTTGCCCGTTTGTGTATTTTGTTAATCCTTGATTGGGACTTCCAACTTAATGAACTCAATATTTAATGTCATCTTTTTATTTACCTGATTCCATGATTCAACG